ACACAACAATAAAGAAAAAAGAAAAAAAAAAAAAGCATGCATGTTCCACACATACTGGCCAGATACATACCTCAAAGCAGTGGTGTTACGTCCACCCCGGCGAGGGCCTTCCACGGGTGAAATCAAATGAAAGAGCAAGAAAACAAAAAAAATCCCCTTATGCTGTGATCGAGGTCCGATACAGGACACTACAGTGACAGTGTGAGTAAGACGTGAGCGAGGCAGTTCAGTTACCTGCCTCGTGTGGAATCCTCCCTGCCTCACTGGCAGGGCACAAGAAGGAAACCAGAACGACATGCACAAAAATGAAACGTTGCACATTCGCATTCCACACATGATGGCCAGATACATTCCTCAACGCACTGGTGTGACTTCCACCATCGTGAGGGTCTTCCCCGACGTCGCAGGATTCAAAGCTCTCAGTTCTTCTTTTTTTTTTCCCCTCTCTCTCAGTGGGGCCCGCGGGGTCCCAATCTTTTCTTTTTCTCTTTTTTCCTGCCGACCCCACACCGGACCCCCGAACTTTGCGGTTGAGGTCATTTTCCCAAATGGGACTACAGCTTGGAAAGGTACCAAAAAAAAAAAAAAAAAGGTTTGAAAGTTGAAACATCATAAGACGTGTTACCTGCAATTATTGAAGCAAAGAACGATAAATCTCATCTGTGACATGAACAGTTGAACATTACGTCAGTCGGAAAACCTCCACAATGCCAAGCATCCATCACAATCAACATAACGAAAGATACGATGTAGTTCCTGGTTCCAGATATTTACTTGGCTGAGCGTTCCTCGAGAGCATTCTCTGTCAAACCATAGTCAATACCGCATGGCTAACACCAGACACATTTACTCCCCTATTGAACCGCCCACCCACCCACCCATCTCTTGTTGCAACCCGTCCCAGCTTACCATCCTCTCTTCTCCTGCCTCCGTGACCCCCAACCAACTTCAGTTGTTCCACATAAATGAGTCCCTCTGTACCTTATGCCATCCCTCCCATTTTTCCAACACCCCTTCTTTCTTCCACCTCCTTGTGAAGATCCACAAGCAACCCTTCGACATCCCAAGCACGTAAGATGGGATGATGCTGTGCCCCCGAGTCCCAACGAGAGCACGATGCTGCACACCAAAGCACACACCCAAGAGAAAGTATGCACCTGTGCACACACACACACACACACACACACACTTCCCCCTCCCCCCTCACACACATCCAGACACACACACTTCCGCAACCACCCACGCACACAGCCAACCACGTACAGACACGTGCATGTACACACACACACACACACACTACTGCCTATAATAAGAAACGGTAAGAATGGCTGCCTATCGGCAGCTTGACAAATTCACAGCTTCAAACATCTGCCAGCCTGCTCACCAACACTAACATCAATTCACATTGCTGCTATCAATCTTCGCCATCACACTCCAAACAACCAAATATCACACATTCCCGCAAAACAGCAACCACCTTACTGAACTGTTAGCCCGAGCCAAACTCCAAATACCATTTCACGTGCTTCTCAATATCTGCACCTGAGACACTTGGCTGGATCTTCGACAGGGCTTCCTCAAAATCCCGCATCTCTATGGGGTCCGCCATTTCCTCCTTGCTCATGTTCCGAATCTCCTCTGGCTTCTTCCCGATGATCTTCCGTCTCATTCCACTCATCGATGCATCCCTGCAGATGTTTGTCAGGTCATCACCGCTATACCCCTCCGTCCTGGCGGCTAGGCTGTCGATATCCACGTCAGGTGCCACCTAGACAAAGCACAAATGTCCAAAACCCAAGAGCCGCTCTCAATAACGGACCGCAACTTAAACCACCAATTCATGCGATCCTAAGTTGCCGACTTTCCAAGGCTCACGAGCCTGCAACTGCGCCTTTCAACGTGGCCTGGCGCTTTTGCCACCGCCCCAGGCCCGGATTGAAAATGCTCTTACCGCGTATACCGGCAAGAGCGCTACTTCCATTCCTGTCAACTGGTGGTCCAACACAATTCACCAGATCAGCATAGTATTCACCGCCCACCCGTCCTAAATACACCATATCCGCATGGTTTACAACTTATGGGGCAACTGCATTCAATACATTATTAATAATGCCCACATCGCCTGCTAAGGGCAAGATGCGACTTTGGTTCCCGAGCTTTCTCTTGAGACAGCCCAATTGTTACTATGAAAAAAAAAATCAAAGATAGAAAGCAACCAGTCCAAAGCTAGGCTACCAGAGTGGACCGGGGTCATTTGCCCGGCCGGGCCAAAAAAAAAAAAAAAGAAAAAAAAAAAAAAAAAATATTTTTAAATTTTATTTTTATTCCACATTTGGTGAAGAATTTCGATGTGATCCTGACGCAAAAGTTGTTTAGTTGTCCTTCGGGACATCCGTTAAAATTGGAACGATACAGAGAAGACTGATTAGCATGGCCCCTGCGCAAGGATGACACGCATAAATCGAGAAATGGTCCAAATTAAAAAAAAAAAAAAAAAAAGTTTAGTTTATTTTTCTGCATAACATAGTTTTTTTTYWKTTTTTTTTTTTTTTTTTTTTTTTTTTTTTTTTTTTTTTGCTGGGACCTTCCCTGGTCCTTGCACGGGCTGGCCACCCGGGACCCGGGCGGCCCAGCTGGTAGCCTAGGTCCAAAGCAATTGCTCACTCATTCAAAAAAATATTGCGGAGCCGCAGACCATGCCGATTGGAATTGCACCATTCAATGATCATTGTAGCAGTTACATACAATGCAGACAGGTAATCAGTGTGGGTGCCCTGAACACAGGGCATAGAAAACACCCATACTTGGGGAAGGTTATGACAACAAGCGGGTATGCACTGGGAGCACTGACAGTGACAGAAGCCATCTTCTTCTAGATCCTCCCACCCCTATGAAGCTTAGCCACTGCTAATGCAATCCCGCGCTGCAGATATTACCACCCACCCTTCCTCACCCGTGTCTTCCTATAGCATATTCTTCTCATTCCCTTTTTGTTCTTCCCATCCTCTCACTGTGCCACTGATTCATGGCCTTCCCGAGCACCAATCCTCCACATAGTCTGGTCCTCCATACCCTGGGATATCCAGACCAGACACATCTCCGTTACGGTCAGTGTCATCATGCGCTGGTCACGCCCACTCCCACGCCCACATCCCGTTACGGTCAGTGTCATCACGCGCTCGTCACGCCCACGCCCACGCCCGTGCGCATTCACCATGTCCTACCCCCTCCAAAGGTGATTGTCTCATGCCCTTTCCCTGACTAGGTTGAATCCAGCACCAACCAAAAACGCTGTGGGAATGATCAGCTGCCCCACGCAGCTCGTGACTGCCCCACCACAACTCCCGCATTACCTTCCCCTTCTTGTCCTCCACCTCAAAACTGCCCTCCTAAACCTCGAGGAGGTACATCATTGCACTCTTATTCCTCTTCCTGGTTCTCTCCATCGACTGCCATTTCTCCTTCCAGTCTCTTCTCTGCCACCTCCGCCCTGTATGCCCACATCCATTCCCTTCTCTCGTGAATCACATTCTCGGCACATCCACTTCCCCCTCTTCCCACGATCACTACTAAGTAGTACAAACCTACAATCTCTCCTCATACAATTCCATCTGCCCCTCGCAAATTGCCTCGTCCTCCTTGTGCAATACTCCGATGCTTCTTGCGCTGCCCACATCGCTGCTCATGCGTTTTGCTGCCCATGTGTTTTGCTGCCGTTCTTTGATCCTCTGGTCAATTGGTCAACTTCGAGTTTTGTTTGTTGGTTGACTTCAATTATTTCTCACATGCGGTTTTTCTTCATGTCCATCTCATGTCCAATTATCCCTTTTTTGGCTCACAGTCTTATACAGTCACAAAAAGACAGGCGAGGCATGGCTTCTGTACACAGACCTGACCACCCTCTCCCAAATTCGCTTCCCACCCATCTAGACTTCCAGGACAGGTGCACCCCAACACATCGAGCCAAGCCTGACCAGACTGGGTACACGCCCTACTCTAGCTCTTCTTAGTGTTTCGTGTCTTCTCTTTGGGGTACACGTCACCGCAGAAAGAGCGCAAGGACAGAATTCCAATTTCTCTCAAAAGGACGTATCGATTGCAATGAGCAGAAGAGGAGCACAATGCCACCTCCAAAGCTTCAACAACTGCAGAGTGACCAGAAATCGCATTGTTTCCAAAACACTTTCTCTATGTATTCACCTGGGGGAGTCCCTTGTCTTCCGTTTGTCCACATTATATATTGTCACATAACTATGAACTAAAAGAGTGCAATCTTTGCAAAACAAACAGCAAAAATTAAAAATTATAAATTAAAAACTGAAGGTTAAAAATTAAAAATAAAAAAACAAACAGGACAAACATGAAGGCCACAGTGAAACCATTCATTTTTCTCATTCTTCTTTTGACTCCCCTTTCACCGTGCCTCTCACGTACAAGGCTCGCCACGTATATATACATGCATAAACATATATGACCCATATGACCTGTGATAAGACAAATTTGATGGTCTGAGGCATCCCTGCACCAATCCGCTCTCATAGAAAGAACAGAGGAGGCTGCACACTCACCTCAACACCCTTGAGATTTATTCTGATGAGATCTCTTCGACTTTGCTCATCTGGCAGCGGGATGTAGATTCTCTTTTCCAACCTCCGCCTGCAAACACCCAGGATAGCATGAGCCAATTTTCGTTCACATTACTGACGGTGTAACGAACTACTGTCACAGTCAGAAAAAGAAAATGGAAGAAGAAATCTGAAGAAACAGAAAACAAGCAAAGTGTATCCTTAGGGACATTCGTTAAAATTGGAACAATACGGAGAGGATTAGCATGGGCCCTGTGCAAGGATGACACGCATAAATTAAGAAATGGTCCAAATTATTATAAAAAAAAAAAGCAAAGCAAAGCACATTGAAAGCAGCAACAAGGTCTAATATATTTGTAATTCATATATATTCGATCAAGATATTACAGAGCCCTCATAGATTGACATAAACTTATAAACAGTCCGAATTTATGCTACTGGAAACTCCAAACCTGCCTCAGTAATGTTGATTCCATACTTGCGGCGCATCGAGGTGCGCGGCATCCCGCACGTGCGCCGCAGCGTACACCGCGCACGACGCGCGCGCACAGGGTGCGGCGCACCCCGAAAATGAGGGGTCGGCAAAAAAAAAAAAAGTTGGGGAGGGGTGTCGCAGGCTCGAGTGGGATGTCGCGTCCACAAACAAAAAAACAACAACAATATTTTGAGGCCGCGCGGGCCCCCGGAAAAAAGAAGGGGGGGGAACTGAAGTCGGTTTGTTTTTTGAAGTTTCGAATCCCGGGTGCTGCCCCTCGCTGCGTGGATGAAGCCCGGTAGTCCCGCTTTGTGCCCTTCCCGCACGCAGTGCGTTGCCCGTTGCCTCCACGTCTTCTGTGCAGCAGCAGCGGTCGAAGGCGTCGTCGTCCACCTATAGCCAGGGGCGCTGAAGTCTTCGTGAAGCAACCGAGGAAGCAGCCGGAGGAGCGCGGCTTCAGGTCGAACAGTTGCCAGGTGGCTAACCACTACCCCCTCTCTCCCCTCCTCTCTCTCTCTCTCTCTCTCTCTCTCTCTCTCTCTCTCTCTCTCTCTCT